TTGTATGTGGTTCCCAATTGGTGGTCCATGGATTGCAAGGGGTCACATAACAAAAACTACCATAAACATACCCAAAATTTTCAAAAATAGTGGGTCCATGGTTTGACTTTGGGAATATAGGGGGTCCATAGTACTAGGCTAATTGGGAACCACTGTCCTAAAACACAGGGTTGAGATTCGTTTTGTGGAAAGGTCCAAGCTCTGATTCAGTAAAGCTTTGACGTCCAGAGCAGGGTTAGCAACATGTACATTAAAGGTATTGTTGTTGCTGTTAAAATGGCAGTAGTTAGTAGTAGTAGCAGGGATAAGTTGTGACTCAGCTACACAGCTGCAAATAAAACGTTCTAAATGTGTTGTAAGGTGCGATATACAAATGTGACACTAGATGGCGATGGTGAGCTGTGCAAAATTCAATGTATTTTTCAAAACCTTTTTTAAAAAAGCATTTTCACAACGTTTTTTATACCTCAGTTGGCAGAGCATGCAGAAGGTCCCAGGTTCAGTCCCCAGCATCTCCAGATAGGACTGGGGGAGAGCCCTGTCTGAACCCCTGGAGAGTTGCTGCCAGTCAGTGTCAACAATACTGAGCTATATGGACCCAATGGTTTGACTGGACGAGCATATGGGCATAGGAAGCTGTCTTATATTACTAATTCATAATAGCACAACCTCATTAAAACCCAACGATTAAAAACCTTACTTTTCAGAATTTCTCATGCATCTTAATCCACTTGACTGAACATTATGTTAACTCTGTAGAAGGTTTTCTCAAAGGTTGTGGGTGGCTGACTCCCACTGCCACCGCTGCCACCACCATGAGTGGACTGGCTATAATTTAGCAACATAGACATCCTGCAGCATAACAGGCTGGGGTAAAAATATAGGAACAGGTGGCTGTTAGGGAGTCTGAGTAGATTCCTGCCTACATAAGCAGAGCACTCAATAGGATGTGGTGGTGAGTACCAATTGGAAGCAGTCAAGACTCATGCAATAAATAAAGAAATAAATCATGAGCCCCAGGTTCTGTATAAAGAACACTCCTGCTTATTCAGGTGTGCTTTATACTCGTCCTCCTGCTGCTAATGCACATTAAAATTACGAAGGGAACTTCCTTGCATAGCAAACTGAAGTCTTCCATATACAGTGGTACCTTGGGTTACAAACACCTAGGGTTACAAACACTTCGAGTTACAGACTCGGCTAACCCGGAAGTAGCACCTTGGGTTAATAACTTTACCTCAGGATGAGAACAGAAATCGTGCGATGGCAGCGCAGCAGCAGTGGAAGGCCCCATTAGCTATAGTGGTACCTCAGGTTAAGAACGGTTTCAGGTTAAGAACGGACCTCTGGAATGAATTAAGTTCATAACCAGAGGTACCACTGTACAAAATATACACTGCATACTTCAACTGGTTTAATGGTGTGTGTGTCCCGTCCCCCGGTCACCTCAGGGAACTATAGTTCTGTAAGGAGGCTAGTGATCCCTAATGGAGGTTTCTCTCCAAACTCCAAATTCTCTCCTGGGATTCTTTTGGAGATAGAGAAATTGTGCCTCCCCACCCGCTAGGTGATGTTGGACTCATAATCCCTGACGTTTAGCCATGCTGGCTGATGACAACACCCAGCCTGTCACTATTTTGCAGGTAGGATTCTATTGCATAGTGGCACATTCAAGTTGTTCGTTTAAAGTGGATCTGAACTCTTGCGTAAAAAAACCCCCAGAACAGAACTTCTCTTTAGGGATAGTTAATTCTGAAATTCCGAAGGACCTTAAAAAAAAAATTATGTACAGTATGCTACAACCGCAGCCAGAATGGTATTTGCCCAGAGGTGGAAAGAGGATGCTGTTCCAGCCAAGGAAGAATGGCTGATTAAAATTTATGGATTTCGCCAAAATGGCAAAATTAACGGATGTGGTAAGAAACCACAAAATTTATTAAAGAGTGGGGGACATTTGTTGAATATTTGAAAAATCATGGGATGCAAGTAAGTGCATTAGTAGGGCCAACTTAAATCAAGCAGTTAAAAGTATTATTAAGATTAATTGTAGAATAATTAAAAAATGGAGTAAAGTGGAAAATGCAGTGTTAAAAATTTAAATAAGATAAGAAACCACAAAAAAGGGGAGGAGGGAAGTCTAATGTGCATTTGTGTTGGAAGTATGTGGTTGTAAGGGGTGTATCTGTAAATTTTTGAAAACTGAAAACTCAAAAAAGGAGGGCTTGTGATGGAAAAATGCACCGGGAACTGTAGAGTCACAGTTGCTTAGCATGATGTTATAACACCTCCCCAGAAACAAATTTGAATGAATGCTCAATGAGCAGCTGATAACCTCACAGTACAAACAAACCAGAATGAATGTCCACAAAACAGGTTGTCTGAAAGGGACCTATATCAATGGGAAAAGCTTAGCTTGGATTTGAGGGTGAGGGAAGATTAGTTTCCCCATTTGGTTGTGGAAGTTGGCCATGAATCAACAAGAAGGAGATGAAAATATTGAAAAGAGCTAAGTATAAGAGACTTGTGAGTTACTGCGGGCTTCTCTTTTGTTAACATCTGGATTAGGCTATATCCCTGTGAAAATAAGTAAAAGGGTGTTGCTTCCATATTGGTCAAAAAGAATGCAAGGCCCTGGTCTCCGAATGCGAGTCTGCAAGATTTCAAAGCTTTGCAGAGTTATTTGCACACAATTTCCGACAGATGGTTCAAAGAAAGTTTTCCTCTTATGTACTCCGTGCCTTCAAATAAAAAAATGGCATTTACTAAACATATAGAAAACATTTATCCTTGCAAAAAATAATATATAAATCAAACGCTGTAGTGCCATCTATTAAAATAAAGAAGTTAACAAAGTTCTATGAAGTAGTCATATGGATTTGCAGCTTTTTTTATCTAATGAAAATGCGATGCTATTTTTTGTGAATTTAACAATAGATCGCCAAAAGGATACCTACAAAAGTGTTTTTCCCCTCTTAGCATTTCATTAAGGGAGTTTTGCACACCAATTTTTAAATAGGTACTTGCTGTTCAGATCTTCATGCGGCAAGGCACTTATTGCAGCCCCTCTCAGCAAGATCTTAATCACGTAATTAGAAACATATGACTAGCCCCATTGAAATGTATGGGATTACTCCCTTGTCTGATGTTGAAGTGATGTTAAACATAAGTTGATGTGTTAAACATGGTAAAGTGCTTTATTGACTATGGCTAGACAGGCACATGGTTACAATTTAGCATATTATTTTAGCTACAGTATTCCCCTCCCCACTAGGATCTATACGTTTAAGAGTGAATTGCCCTTACCCAGCATTTGGTTTGGGTGTATTGGTCCAATGTGCATATGAAGCCGCTCCCCTTTCAGTATTGAAAGAGGCCTGCTCCATTTATTTTAAGACCTGGAGTGAGCAGGTTTTATTCAAATGACAGTATTCTGCACAGAGCTTGGACACTCCACTGAATGTCCATTAGGGTTCTGGGTGGGTATTCTAAAGGCCTGGTTCAAACATGCATGTTTATTGCTGGATGATGGCAGTAGGAAATGGCAACTTACAGGTGAGAATGCGTCGTCACAGTTCAAACACAGCAGGCGGAGCTTTTACATCACCATACAGAATTTCGAGCGCAATATTTCTCAGTGGATTTGGAGGGGAGAAGGGGAAGAACATTCCATTGCACAAGCAGAAATCCTCGCACTGATGGAATGCTCATGTAGTGCTGTGTTGGGTACCACCCATTATTTACAGCCCATTGTTCTAGTCCTGCAGTCTCAGATGATTATCTCACTCCTGCCCCACTTGCTCCTTCCTAAGATTAGCGTCTTCCTCCTAACTGCTATGGTTTCCTTCCAATCTGCTAGGAGGGAACGCTGTCATTCACAGCAAGTTTGTCTAGCCCAGCGATGCATTTGCTAGGCCCTTTCCTTGCCAGTCAGCCACCACCCATGTATCCAAGGCCCTGAGGCCCTGTCCATTTGCCTTCCTCTGGGCCACTCTCCCCCATCTTCCTCCTGATTTGAACGCCAGACATGCATATGATGTCTGATGCTAATTCCCCCCCCCCCAAAGAGTTAAATGATAACTCATCAGAGGCAGCTACAGTTGCAAATGGAAACAAAATATCTGTGAAAGGAAGAGGAGCAGGTTTGCTCAAGTGTGTTGCAGGTAGAAATACTGTTTGTAATGAAGTGAGAGCAGTAGTTGCTCGAATTAACGAATAAGAAAGTTTTGAGAATTTACATGGTAGATTAAAATTGATTAATTCATTGAGAAGGGGATTGAAAGAAAAACACTGGGGCCTAATTTGAATAATAGAGTGCCTGGTATCTGGTGAGCAATCTTCTCCTTTATTTCTACACTGTGGCTGTAAACCAAATCACCTGTCAGGAGAGCTATGAGATTCAGGTGAGGGTCATATGCTTTGTCAATCCCAGCAGGTATATAACAGGAAGACCGGCCTACCCAGGCATTATTTTAAGAATAACATTACAACTTCATTTTCCAAAAAATAATGCTCATTCCACAAAATGTTTACAAAGTTCAGCTACTGCAAAAGTTTTATGCCTTTCTTTAAATCACCATGGTATTTAACCATCTTATGTCCTTTAGAGGAGAAATTGTGAATTGCAGAATTTTAAATACCCGTCATCATCCTTGGCTTCACTCAGTTTTGTTTATAACACTCTTCCATTTTATTCTAGTCGTGAGGGTGGGGGTGGGGAGGGGCCTCACAAGTGGAGTAGCCTAGGGCCTCTCTTCATCTAAATCCGACCCTGATCAGGGCAGGAGATCATATTCAAACTAAGCTCAGCAAAGTTCATGGTTGAAGGGAAGGAGTTTTCTGTGGCTCTGTTTTCTAGCAGGGCCATGAAATACAGCAGATATCAGGACTGGGGAAAAGCTCAGCCACCAACCGTTCCCCAGAGAGGATTCATTTTTAACTAAGCTGCTGTGTGTGCACCTGAACCAGTGTCTCATTTTTCTCTTGTCTTTTTCCTTTGTCAGGCAGGGCTTGAAGATTCAATTACGGAGGGAACTGGCCGGCCTGGTGTAGATGGTGCTTTGCTTCCCCACAGACTTTACAGGCTTGCTGTAAGAATTTGTGTCGCATGCGAACCAGATTGCATTTCTAAACTAAGATGATAGGTGTATAGGGAAAGACCATGGGAATTAAAAACTACAGCGGCAAAGCAAAACACGAAAGTCAGGAAGCAAAAACAGCAGGTGATGTTGTCTTAAAAGGCATTAAGATGCAGAACCTGCAATTTGGAAAGAAAAATAATGTGCAGTATTATAGCTGAATGCGCCTTTGGTCCCTTCTTTCCTGGGGACTCTGTTTGTGCCCCTGCACTGGTGTGGGATGAGTGAGCTGAGCTCTAAACCTTCATGCCTACTTAGAATATATACAAGACCAGCTCTGCCAAAACTGCAAGATGCTGCTTATAATGAATGGCACTTAGAGATATTATGCCTTCCAGGTGAAGCACAAACATGCTTCTGAGCAGCCTTCACAACTTCTGGCCTACTGAGCCAAACACAGACTACCAGACTTCTCCAAATTTGCAGTGGCTGCACTCCAAGAAGCTGCTTCCAACAGCAGTGTTCTTCTGCTCAGCCCAGTCTTGCATTTGGAAGCATGCATCTCTCCCTTTCACATGTTTAGCCATTCACTGCAGCAAGGTAACATCAGCTATAGCTGATGATGATGATGATGATGATAATAATAATAATAATAATAATAATAATAATAATTAATATAATAATAATAATAATAATAATAATAAAATAATAATAATTTATTTATACCCCGCCCTCCCCAGCCAAGACCGGGCTCAGGGCGGCTAACACCAGGTATAAAAACAATTTAAAATACAACTTAAAAACAAGATTAAAATATAACATTAAAATGCAGTCTCGTTTCAGTAGAAACTCAAATAAAAAACTCTTTTGGGGATGAAAATGTCAAATCTTCACCAAGGCCAACTATCCAGACTGGTCCTACATGGACCAGAAAAACGCCAGGGAAGTCCCCAAATAGGAGTTCCATCACAGAAGGAGAAAGGAAAAAGGAAAGAGGGGGAGGGGATCAAATTGATTCTAAGCCAAAGGCCAGGCGGACCAACTCTGTCTTACAGGCCCTGTGGAAAGAAATCAGATCCTGCAGGGCCCTGGTCTCATGAGACAGAGCGTTCCACCAGGCCAGAGCCAGTGTTGAAAAGGCCCCGGCTCTGGTACAAATAGACTTGGAGATGCAATTTGCTGCATAAAGGGGAAAGTACCAGGATGCCAAGAGGTTCCTTAATATGGGGAAAGATTTCTTGAGGGGCTGTGCCTTAGTTAAGTGTCAAACGCACTAGAGGTTAATGGCTTATTGTTTTGTCAGGAAGCACGGGGGGGGGGGGCGTAGTTCGCAAAACTGAAAGGAGAGCTGCAATTCTTGGCCGTATGCAAAAAGAATCTCTCCTTTCAATGGCTTGTTTTAAATTTTGGTTTCCGGTAAATGCAACTCGACTTTTTTAGGCAGTGAGTAGCACCCAAAGGCTTTACAGTGTTGAATAGATATTGACCGAGTGAAAGATTTTTCTCTTGGAATAAATCTAATGACTCCAACTAGATCCACAGCCCGACTTCGGCTGGGGAGGGTGGGATATAAATAAAAGTTGATTAGTTTGTTATTATTAAGAGTACATACGCATCACGTTTTCTGGCATTTTCCTCTTCCAAGAGGCTAACTTGTTTTCCCTTCAAAGCCCAGAACTCATTTGACAGTGCAATCCTATACACAGAACTGTAGAGTTGGAAGGGACCATGAGGGTTGAACCCCAAGTGCTTGAGGGCCCCCTCACTTCAACTTGTGTTGGCTCATAAGGATCCCACTTTTCCTCTGACAAGCCCCAGATTTCTCCAAGGCACCCCATTTCAGCTCGGAATTCAATATTCCTGCACACCCCAATATAAAAGTTCTGAAACTTGTTGATTAGTTACCCAGATGGTGGCTTCACCTTTGTGTTTCATCACTACGTACACACTTCCTAGCTTTTTTCCTCTGTATGGCCCTGGAACCAGGCATTTAGGAAACACTTCTGCACCAGTCGTCAAAGGCCTATATCCCTGATAATACCTCAGTACATGAGGGTGTTTATTGTTCAAACAGATGTGACAGAAGACAATCGTGTTTCCTGGTTCTTGGCTTGCCTAGGTTTATTACCCAAAGCAATGAACGCATGTAGAACCATAGTACCAAGAACAGATTTCCATGCGGTAAAGTAATGGATGTTTAGTAAAATTTTGCCGTTACAGACGTTTGCTTTTAAATAAGCAAACATACAGCACAAATGCTCCGTTTCACGTTGCAAGTGGAGAGGACTGTCCCATTCTAGTTTTAAATACAATGTGCCTCATTCTTCCATTGATTTTCCAAGAGGGATAATTAACATGCTGTTCTGGGAGAATGTGCTAATAAGTTATTAGTCATGTGCTGCTTAAATACTTGGCTTTGGCAAATGTAAATGCCCCGCAGCCCAATACTGCTAAGCTTCCATTGCGCCAGCATATTTAATTGGATTTAATAGTGTAAAACTTCAGGACATTCTAGAACCCCTTTGTGTCAGAGTAATTGCATTCTGGAGAAGCCTGGGGTTCCTCTGAAGTGTATATACTGGGTCCCTCCATGGGAAGATAGTTGGTGGCAAACAAGCTTCTCTGAAATACATTTTGGCCACCACAGCAGCAGCTGCCACCCGCTACAATGCCCAGCTGTCAAGGAGTGTTGGATGTGCTTCTACACTACATGCAGAGATTATGTGGACCAAAAACAAGTCCCACCAAACTTTGCAGGTGCTCCCTGTGGGATGAATCTATATCCCCTAGAACAGTGTTTCCCAACCGGTGTTCCGCGGCACAGTAGTGTGCCGCGAGACCTTGCCTGGTGTGCCGTGGGAGGGAGGCGGGCGAGTCGGGCGGCGAGAGGCGGGGCGGCGGCGGCGAGGATCCGCGTCGAGCCGGGGGCAGCTCCGCGGTGGTGGTGCCGAGGTTTCTCTCTCCATTCTCCCCTCACACACACACACAGGAAATAACACAGGATCAGCTGACAGGATCCGGCCAATGGGGCGGCGGCGGGGCAGCGCACGCAAAAGGGAGGAGCGCGAGACAGCGGACGAGGAGGAGGCCGGCATGTCCGGGCAGCAGCAGCAACAGCAGCAGCAGCAACTCCCGGCGACGGCTCCTCAAGCCCCGGGCAACCCTACTCCCTCACCGGCCTCGGCCGCCCTACTGCTCCACCCGCCGCCGCCTCCCCCGCCACCGCCGACCACCTCGGCCCCGCCGCCGCCCCCTCCTCCGCCCGCTATTGCCGCCACCACCACAACAGCCGCCGCCGCCTCAGCTGGGCCCATGCCTGCCGGGAGCGGCGGCGGCAGCAGCAGCAGCAGCGCCCCGGCGCCCTTCCCTCACGGCGGCGACCCGGCCCTGCAGTGGCGTAGCGTGGGGGGTGCAGGGGGGGCCGGCCGCACCGGGCGCAACATCTGCGGGGGGCGCACTCGCAGCTCTCTGCCCCTCCCGAGGTTTCTGGGTTAGCAGAGTCTGTAACCTGAAGCGTATGTAACCCGAGGTACCACTGTACTTCCAAGTCAGCGTGCAAGGGATTGCAGGACCGGCGGACTTGGCGGTGGGGGTGGTTGCTGGAGCCTTGTCTGCCCTTTCAGCCCCGCACCCACCGCAGACCCCTTCCTATGCCACTGGTAGCTAGGCGAGGCGGGGGGCACTGGGCGCCACACCTCAGCGCCTGCAGCGTGCCTGAGCCATGCGTCTGCGGGCGAACTGCCCGCAAGCTCCGCTCTGGCCTCTGCCCACCGCCTCAGCCTCCCTACAGCTGAGGGGGAGGCTGCAGCGAGGCTCCACGCAGTGCACCCTGCCATGGCTCGCCCCCATGGCACTCGCCCCTGGCTGCAGGACGCGCGTGCCACCCCGGGCCCCTGAGCGGCTAGCTGCGCCGCTGCGCTGAGCGCAAGGAATACGTCCTCTCCGAGTTCGGCGTCCTCTTCGTGGGCAGCGCGAACCGCATCTCCAGCTTCGGGTGGAACTTTGGCCAGGTAGGGGGAAGCCTTTGGGCGGGGGGGGGGAGACCGGGGTGGGGAGGGGTTAGGAGAGACGCTACCGGCGCCGTCCAGAAATGCCCAGAGCAACTGGAGCTCAGCTACGTGCACACATGCGCCCTCCAAATCCTGTTTCCCACCCCTTTCTCAAAAGAAGAGAGAAAAAATGGGTCCTGGGTGTGAAACCAAAGGACCTTTCCAGCTCCTCCTCAATTCCAGGTGTGGATGGCAATGCCTCGTGTCTCCTCCCCCGCGACCAGAGCACACTTCCTAGGCTGGTTGGACGGTCCCTGGGGGTCTTCGGGTTGCCATATTTTGAAGAGCAAAAAACAGGACACATTTGTCGACTTCTGCTTTTAGCTATGGATCAGTGGCCTAGCGTGGGGGGTGCAGGGGGGGCCGGCCACACCGGGCGCAACATCCGGGGGTTAGTGTTAGGGGGCGCAAATCCACGGGTTAGGGGGCGCAAATTACTTGCATTGCCCCGGGTGCTGACAACCCACGCTACGCCACTGCGGCCCTGAACGAGCAGGAGAAGGAGCTCAAGTGACGCTGCGCGCTGACGTCACGGGGCTGTAATGGTGGTGTGCCTCAGAGATTTTTTTCATCAAACAAGTGTGCCTTTGCCCAAAAAAGGTTGGGAAACACTGCCCTAGAACGCTTCCCAGAATCAGATGTCAGAGAAATGCACTGAAATCGGACTATCAAATGGATTTCCTCCCATCTGCCCATTCAATCCCCAACACAGCACAGACTCCTGCTTTTTTGCTTTAGTCCTCCACAACAAAAGTTGTTGTTTTTAAAGATGCATTGCACACTTTATATCTAAATAGATATGTAAATTGCTTTGCATTTACATATCCATTGATGTAGAATTGCTGCTGTCCTGACAGATGCCTGAGGCAGCCTAAATGCACCAGGGCTGTCAATCCTAACCATGGTTACTCAGAAGTCAGTGGTACTGAATTCAATGGGACTTCATCTTGGGCAGGGGAGGATTAGGGTTGTAGCTTTAATCCACTTTTTACTGTGAACTATAAAATCAAGTGAATGCAGCGTGCTGTGTCCCACTTGCACTGCCACTACGGGTGCCCTGGCTCTTACCAAACTCAGTGGGAGCCAGGGCATTCCTCAAACTATTGCTGCTCTCTCTGCTTCTCTGCCCAGGGGTGGGGAAGGCAACTGGCAATGGGGTGAGCTAGAACACCTTCCTTTCCGTGGCAAAATTGGTGGGATGGGTGGAGCATTGCCTCTTACACTTCTGCCACCTGAGGCAGGTCCTTCACCCCACATCATAGGTGGGCCGGCTCTGTCTTTTCCCGTGGAAAGAAGTGATCTCTTTTGTTACCTGTGGACTTTAGCAGTCAAAGTGAAGAGGAACATATGGATTGGCACCCGTCCCCTAAATCTTCATTTTGAAATATTGCCCTACTAGCCAAGTCCCAACATTTGAAACATATTACCTAGAGAGTTTTGGGATGTGGGTGGCGCTGTGGGTTAAACCACAGAGCCTAGGACTTGCCGATCAGTAGGTCGGCGGTTCGTATCCCCATGACGGGGTGAGCTCCCGTTGCTCGGTCCCTGCTCCTGCCAACCTAGCAGTTCAAAATCACATCAAAGTGCAAGTAGATAAATAGGTACCACTCTGGCAGGAAGGTAAATGGTGTTTCCGTGCGCTGCTCTGGTTCGCCAGAAGCGGCTTAGTCATGCTGGCCACATGACCCGGAAGCTGTACACCAGCTCCCTTGGCCAATAAAGCAAGATGAGCGCCGCAACCCCAGAGTCAGCCACGACTGGACCTAATGGTCAGGGGTCCCTTTACCTTACCTAGAGAGTTTATGTTTCAGCAGAAACACCCACACATCACCATTTTCTGAGTAACATTTGCATGCATGAAATAAAATGTTGCAATGAAGAAATGACTTACATTATGGTTAAAGAGCGTTATTATATTACTGACTGAAGGATTAATTCATACATAAAGAGAGAAATGTCAACAGGGTGCTAAACCGTCCCTCCCTGATGCCTGGGGGAGGGAAAGCAGACAAGATGACAGGTGATGGACTGTGAAATCAAGCTAACCTGTTAGGCTGTGATTCTGGCTCCACTCACCTCATTGAATTCCATGGGGCTTACTTTTGAGTAGACATGGCTAGAATTGCAAGCATGCGGAGCTTTGTAATGGACCATTAAGGTGCTTCAAGACTCTTTGTTTCTTTTGCTGCATGCAAGGAACACCAAGGGAAAGTAATTGATTTTTAAATATATGTTGATGATATTTTGTGCGCCACAAGATACATTTCCTTAAAACATGCATTTCCATACAAGTAGAGGATGAAAAGGAAGACTTGTGCAAAAGAAACCAATTTCAGCAGAACAGAAAACATCAGATTAATGTGGAAATGGATGTTGGCATGAACTGGGAAATGTCTGTACATTAAGGTTACCAGATTTTTTTCAATGAATCCGGGGGCACTTTTCAACTTCAATGGATTTTGTGTGGGGACTGATTTGTAAATCTGGGGACTGTCCCCGGGAAACGGGGAGGTCTGGTAACCTTACCATAAATCCCTACACAAAAGCTCCATGACTGACACTTGGGGGGCGGGAGGTTCTCAGCATGCAAATCAATCGGCAAACAGAGGGCTCCTAGAAGCAAGACCCATTGCCTTAGTGTCTTAGTGCTGCCGCTCCACCGTGTAGCTACTGCTTCAGACCAAATCACCAACTTAGAATCATAGGACTGTAGAGTTGAAAGGGACTCTGGGGGTCATCCAATCTAACCCCCTGCAATCCAGGAATATGCAGCTGTCCCATACGGGGATTGAACCTGCAACCCTGGCGTTATTAGCACCACGCTCTAACCAACAGAGCCATGCAGGCCTTCCTAAACAGCCATGTTTTCAGTCAAAGCTAAACAACAGAGAAGCCATGTGGCAGGCTTTCTCAACCTCGGCCCTCCAGATGTCTTTGGCCTACAACTCCCATGATCCCTAGCTAGCAGGACCAGTGGTCAGGCGTGATGGGAATTGTAGTCTCAAAACATCTGGAGGGCCAAGGTTGAGGAAGCCTGCCATATGGGTTACTAGTGATGGGAGGAGAAGGTGGATGAATGCTCACCCCGAATGGGAAATCTAATCTGAGCTAATATTATGGCAGTTTGTTAGAAAGACTGCTATAGGTTCAGGTGTTTTGGGGGTCCAAGCAACAAGGAGACAGGAATGATCAATTCATCAGGCAATGTCATTTTAACTTGTCTTTAGCTGCCAAATTTCCACCGAAGGGCTTCCTATTCTTTTCTTTAAAAAACAACAAACCCTCTCTGCTTCTTATTTGGCAGGTCATCTTCTCCAGCTGTGCTGGTGCCGCTGCAATATTCCAACAGCCTGCTGTAGGGTGTGGGGTGCTGGCTGTCTACTGCAAGAGGAAAGAGGTGAGCGTCTGGACAGTACGCCTGCCAAAAATCCTTTTTATCAAGAGAACATCTTTTATTTCAGAGCATCCCTGCCCATGGAATTTCAGCAGTTGTATTCTGGAACAGGGAAGATGCAGCTCTGCTGAATGGATACCACAGCTTCAAAAGCACTCTTTTGTTTTGCAGGGTTTTATCTGATGAATCTCGTGGTAGGAGAATCTGGTGCTGTTTGATTGCTCCTTCTCGCAGAATAGTTGCCGGTCAGAAATTGGCAGCCTGAAGCGTACCGGAAGGCAGACAAGGGAATGAGGTGTTGTGCACATCCACAAGCCATTCAGCTTTATGCAAGAAGCCTATTGCACTGCAAACTTCCATGAGAAATTGTGTGGCTACGTAGCCATAATATCAGCATTATTTTGCATTAAAAATATACAGTGGTACCTCGGGTTACAGACTCCGCTAACCCAGAAATAGTACCTTGGGTTAAGAACTTTTCTTCAGGATGAGAACAGAAATTGTGTGGCGGCGGCGCGGCGGAAGCAGGAGGCCCCATTAGCTAAAGTGGTACATCAGGTTAAGAACAGTTTCAGTTTAAGAACGGACCTCCAGAACGAATTAAGTTCTTAACCCAAGGTACCACTGTATAGGTTTTAGGCCAGGTGATGGCCATGGCTTCTCCCAACAAATCTTGGGGGTTGTAATTCAGTTGATGGTGCTGAGAGATCTGTTAGAGATCTCTAATTATGAGTATTTTATTGAATTTCAAGTGAAAGCTGCATTTTAAGTTTGCATATTTGCCTGAGATGTGGGAATTAGGTTGGTTTGCAATGAGCAATGTAAAGGTAAAGGTACCCCTGCCCATACGGGCCAGTCTTGACAGACTCTGGGGTTGTGCGCCCATCTTCACTCAAGAGGCCGGGAGCCAGCGCTGTCCGCAGACACTTCCGGGTCACGTGGCCAGCATGACAAGCTGCATCTGGCGAGCCAGCACAGCACACGGAACGCTGTTTACCTTCCCACTATAAAGCGGTCCCTATTTATCTACTTGCACCCGGGGGTGCTTTCGAACTGCTAGGTTGGCAGGCGCTGGGACCGAGCGACAGGAGCGCACCCCGCCGCAGGGATTCGAACCGCCGACCTAACGATCGGCAAGTCCTAGGCGCTGAGGCTTTAACCCACAGCGCCACCCGCGTCCCTACAATGAGCAATGTACAATGAACAAATTTTCCCCCATCCCTACCTGCTTAGTACGAACAAATTAGTACTACAATCCCTAATGCAATTATCAGCACAAGGTAAGGACTTGCATGACCGGGTGGGTTAGCAAAGTCCAATGCAGCACTTTCCAGTACTCTCGAGCACACCATAATGACTAACCTAAATTTGTAAAAGCCAGAGCAATTACTCTTCCTGTGGAATTTGCTGTCAGGTCTGTTGGAGATGCTGTTAAGAATGTAGCCGGTTGCTTACCTGTCATCAAGCAGCGTCTTAATAATGTAGTTGAATTTGAATAAGCAGTTATATATGAATCCTGGTCCTACCTTCCGAGTGTGACACTGTAGATGAAATTGAATCTCCACTTCAGTTTTTAAGCCCGGGAATGAGCAAGCATCTTATCTGAATATAATTTGTAGGCTAGCAGCTGAAGCAGCTGCTTACACGGGATTTAGTCTGTGCTTCTTAGAACTGATCGAAAATATTATCCTGCCTTATTAAAATCACTCTGCAGCTTTTCCAGTCATGTGTCAACGGGAAAACAAAAACAAACACCAGAATGCATATTTTTCCAAGCTGTGGTTTGAAAAAGGGTAGTTTGCAGAGATTCACTTTTGCCATTACAAATAAGCAAGGCTTTTGTATAGTTCACAGAACATTTACAATGATACAATACAATATATATATATGCATATTTTGGACATATTTGACCATATATATATATATATTTACAATTTTTAAGTATTTGTGAAAACATATTTCACAACATTTGTGCATTTTTTAACTGACAAACACGGCACAAAATTTAGAGAACTACATTACTTTGCTGATTGCTATGCTACATTCAGCGCAGCAGTCTGGGTTTCATGAGCTGATTTGGTCCTCATCAAATGCAGACTGAACAAATCCTCAAGCATCCCAAGCTGTAAATCAGCAACACCTTTTTAACCAATTAGAAGGCTTTTAATTGATTCACCCAACCAATTAATTTACTAAGCGCCACAGCCCTACTTATTTTGTTATGATTCACTGCTTCACAGATTATAATATGTTGATTAACCATAGCTCTCAAAACTATGATAATTCATTGATAAGTCTTCCATCACTTGTCTCCTTTGCTACAGGGTAAAAGTGCTCACTTCCCAGGTCAACAATCTCCTGCTTCTGTTCTTGGGGAAGCAGAGGCATAGTAGCAGCCGGTTTTCCACTTCAGAGGCAGGTTATCTGCCCGTCCTCACCAACTCCACTGCAATGCAATGACTTGTACCAGAATAATCACAACAGCTACGTCTATTTCTTCACATGCATGTAGCTAATCTTGCAGAAGGCACTCCCTCAAATTACAGTGTTTTCTCCTAGCCTATGTTTGCTCTCAGATGTCCAACAAGGTCTAGCAGAGCTGAACATCTGGTGATGATGTGGTGGTGGCTCTCAACTTGGATGGCTTTAAAATGGGATTAGACAAATTCAAGGCAATTGATAGCTACTACTTGTCTTGATGGCTATATGTGAACTCCAGAACCAGAAGCAAGATGCCTCTGAATAGTAGGGATCATGAAGAGCGCTGTTGCATTCATATCCTGCTTCTGGGTCTCCCAGAAGTATCTGGATAGCCCCTGTGAGAATGGAATGCTGGACTCTGGTGGTATTTTTGGTCTGTTCCATCAGCGCTCTTCTTGTGTTTTTAACTTTTCCGCCAATTACAGGGCTGCTTCTGTTCTATATTGCCCTGTTCCTGTTGGGGATCTCCTCATAGTTACCAGCCCTATTGTTCTCCTCCATATTCCTGTCCAGAGACTTTAATGCAAAGCTAACACAAGGAGTGGGACGCGGGTGGCGCTGTGGGTAAAAGCCTCAGCACCTAGGACTTGCCGATCGCATGGTCGGCGGTTCGAATCCCCGTGGCGGGGTGCGCTCCCACTGCTCGGTCCCAGCACCTACCAACCTAGCAGTTCGAAAGCACCCCCGGGTGCAAGTAGATAAATAGGGACCGCTTACCAGCGGGAAGGTAAACGGCGTTCCGTGTGCTGCGCTGGCTCGCCAGATGCAGCTTGTCACGCTGGCCACGTGACCCGGAAGTGTCTGCGGACAGCGCTGGCCCCCGGCCTCTTGAGTGAGATGGGCGCACAACCCTAGAGTCTGTCAAGACTGGCCCGTACGGGCAGGGGTACCTTTACCTTTACCTTTAACACAAGAAGAGCAGAGGAGAGCTACTGAGCATTTACACGGGCTAAGGGACTCCATTTCTGTTGCCTCCCTTCTTCTGGAGGATTTGTACAACTGCCCGGGAACTGGGGTCTTCCAGCCATCTGTGGCCCACAGGGTCATCTCCATCAGCCAGCTCCCACAAAGGTCACACCACATATCCAATTTGCCCATGTGGCTCTCCTCCGCTGTTGCTCATGTGCAGTGGAACCCAAAGGACTGCAAGGGAGATGATCTACCCGCTTCCGATATTCCAGTGGCAACAGTGATCTCAGTTTCCTCATTACGGAGCATGAAGTTTCTCTGTCTTCAGGCCTCCTTGTCCTTGTACCATCTGGGTCATCCTCTGCTCAGTATCATTTCCATTTCCGCACTATCCTTACAATATAATTAGGGGGCCAGAATAGTGTGTGTGACTGACAAATGTGACCTCATTAGATTCTTCGGCAGTATCAAAATATTATGCACTCATTTGCATCTCAAATCCCCCAATTCCTTTGCATTTAATCCTTGTGGCCGCTTTGTCCTTTGCTGTGGTTGTCAGGGTTCGATTCTCATTCCCCTTTCACTCAGATCTGGCAGGGAGCACAGCAGAACTCCAGAGTTTCATGCATTATTTTTTTTAAAAAACCCTGCAAAATAACCCCAGATACATGCATAGCTCAAAAGTTTCATTTTTTAATCAGCTAGACACACTCCTAAATGTTTTATTTATTTATTTTTAAAAAATGAGGAATATGCATTCTTTTACATAGGGCCCCATGTCAAATTAGCACTGAAGTGACGCCCAACTTCCAGTTGCCGACTGATAATGAAAATGTCCCTGAATGTTGCATGGTCCCCCTGTGCTGATCACAGACACCACAAACTATATGGTCATATTAACATCAGGACGGCTCTCTGTGGTCTCTTTCCTCTACATGGCAATTACAACATCTGGGAATTCAAATCTGATTCAAGAGTAAGGCCGGATTTTGAGTTTAGGGTGGGGATGAATGAGAACCAAGACCTGTAGGGATAAGGCACTTACAAATCTTAAATTATAATTAAGGTTGCAGGCAACCACACCTGGACATTGGCTGATAGGGAGAACTGTAGAGTCTCTGAATTCCCAAGGGGGCTTCATAAATTGGACCGAAACAGCAAAACCTTAACATACAAGGCCGAATTTGCTTAATTTTAAGATATTTAATTTGTGAAATACATTAACATCTCTGTGCATTTGCACTTATTTGACAGAAAAATGGAAAGAGATTTACAGTGGTACCTTGGTTCCCGAATGGCTTGGCTCCCAAACAAATCGGCTCCTGAACATCGCAAACCTGTTCCTGTTTGCAAACATTTTTGGAAGCCAAACATCTGTTTCGGCTTTCACCATTGTTTCTGGGGCCAATCAGAAGCTGCGTCTTGGTTTTGGAAGTTGAACAGACTTCCAGAACAGATTGAGTTCAGGAACCAAGGTACCACTGTACCTCCAACTGAGCGACTGGATAATGGCTGCCTGTACGTTTTTCCTGATTTTGCCATATTTGAATGAGCTTGAGATTTCCACCTTCTTTTTAAAAGAAGAAATCTGAACATTCAAGTCAGGGACCTGGATTATGTCTGAGGGGTAGAAGATTACAAATTTTCCTATTTTTGTGGGTCTTAGAACTTTCGCAGTTGGTTCATGTTTGATTTATATCTAGTTCTTGAAGAGCTTCTGCATTAGAAATGTATCCTGTATCCAACATTCCAAGCTACAAGGCAATAGGACAGTCTCCAGGTGACTGTGGTATGCTCTGGTTTCTGCCTTCATCCAGGGACCTTTCCTTAAAATAAAATAAAAAAGAAGTCTGGTGACAATTGCAAAACCTTATGTCTTGGGTTTTAGTGCTCCCCTCTACCCCAAACTCAATTTGGGAAGTGGCACATAAAATTTTGGGTATTGAGGTCATGGAGGAATTAACTCACCATCTCTGGGTACTGAAATGTCAGGTCAGTCCAGAGTCTTGCTGTTTGGCATGACTTTATTCAGTATGACAGTTTGCACAATCAAAGACCATGGTTCTTGCCCAATACTAAAAGTTATGGAATAAGATTTTGTCATTTTTGTGTGTCCACTGGAATCTGTTTGGAAGGGGACAAAATGTGCTATAGTCTGTTGGGTATATACTGTACATGCATAACATTTGCTGCCTCGCAAGTGGAATTTCTTGTAAGCCAGTCCTTTTGTGTTTTTCCTTTTATTTGTTTCTTTTGTACTTTTGAATGTGACTGTAATGAATAGTTGCAAAATAAATTTAAAGAATGAGCATTTTAAAAACCTTCTTTCTTTTGTCTTCCCATCGTAGAATCCATTGGGACTCATTTCAGAAAAATGCAGGTTTGTGCATATCCCCACAACTACAGTCAGAAAGAATTAAGAAGCGGCAAGTTTCACCTTCTTGAAATGAGGTAGGGGCTGAAGCAGAAAAAGGAGTTGAGAGTGGTTTCATCTAAGAGGTGATATATATCCTGTTCGCATGTTTTCGATTCAGATAAACACTTTTGAAGTGCAGTATATTCACTTGGGAAAACGTTGACCTCCTCAAAATTGTTTGCAGCGTTTTAGTGCAGCGAGATGCCTGCACAGATTCCCAGCTAATTGCAATGTGGGGGAAAGCAGCAGGGAATTCACACTTAGATAAGCTCAGGAATGAAGCACAAGCCTTGGCCACAGTGCAAATAAAATAACAAAAGATTTTCCATATCACAGTAATCATCATTGGCATTTTCCTCTTGCTCCACTCACAAACTCCTGATTAGATGAGGCCCTTGTAGAAGGTGTGCATACCTCGAGTGCATGGCAACTGTCTCTTATTGTGGTGATTATTGTCTCTTATTGTGGCACACAGGTATTGCGCACCTGATTTGCTTTAGATATGTTCCTCAAATCACTGCTGACCCATATAGATGCTTAGGATGGGCATTGTCTGGTCATCAGTTTTGTTTATGTCTGAAATCATGGACCATCTCCAGTCTTCAGCTATTCTTCACACACCAACATAATCAAGGATAGTGCTTGATTCTCCTCCCTGGAGGAAAGGTAGCTTAGCATCTTTTATTCTAATTTGCATCAGCAACATGGAGAAGCTTTAGTGAAGACGAGTTCTCTGCTTCGTCCTGCATGTAGCAACACACACACACACACCAAAATACGTCCCCATTGTGAGGTTCTGTGTTTGTTCAACCCCAATTGTTGCCATGTCAGTGTTCTCCTGGGAAGGCAGCTGTCATGAAAAGAGATGCTTCTATCCTCTAATCTTCTTACATATCGTATATCCAGGATAAGGGTCTCAACTATTATGCTCAAAGAAGCAAGAAATGATGTGGAGTGAAATGCTCATGTCATCCCAAGTTAACACTTCTCCTTGATCCTGTAAGACATTCGCTTTCTCCTGTCCTCCTCCTCCTTTTGGTAGAGAAGTAGCTTTTGCGGTTGCACAAGACCTGTGCCCAGAGTATTAGTTGAGGCCACCTTGCCCCGCTCTCTGAATTCTAAGCAATTGAATTCTGGGATCTCAGGCAAAAGTCTTCATTTTACATCACTTACGACAGAGAACATTTCGAATGGAGATGCTGAAAATTGAATCTGGGATGTGCTCCAACACTGGGCATGCCTCTCGTGGTGTTCAGACTGGTACAAACTGAGTAATTTGGTGTTTGATTGGGCAATGTAATTTCACTATGTTTGTGTTAGGGTGTTTCCATGCCAGCGTTTTAGAGATGATCTACATGTGTGTGTGTTTTATTTTTAAAAAACACATGCATGATCAAGTGCTTCTTTGCAGCAAAATCTGCTTGCATGATGGAAGAAAGCTTTCAGTGTAAGCAGGGAGGGCATTGCTGTTTTTAATGTGGTCAGGCATTCAAACCTATGTGCATTTTGAAGTAATACAACCCTATGTAGGCTGTACCACATGTGCAACTTCTTGCAAATTATCACATGGGCATATAGACCAGCTCTTCTCATCTGGAATGCATCAATCTACAGAGGTGGTTTAATGAACTATAGAAATGGGGGGGGGGGATTTAAAACTGAATGTACATGCTAGTCAACCTGTTTTCCATTCACTTTACAGAAATGAGAAACGCAAAAACTTGTTTAAAGGCCATCTCTAAAAACGACAACTGAGAGTGACAACCAAGCTGGTAAGATGAGACTTCTAACAAGACCAGTCTATATTGATGAGCAGCATGCACTAGACTTTCAAGCACTCTCAACAATGCTTGATGGCAAATTATATCATCCCTTGCCCACATTATTCTGCTGGAAAATTCTCCTGTTCCCAGAAAGAAATGCAATTTGACAGAAATGTACGAATTAAAAGGAACAAAATGTAATTAAAATGGCGATAGCACATAATCTGGTAACCCACTTTAGAGGCTCAGAGCTTCATCTGTGTGGGGTTTTTTTTTTAAAAAAAATGTTTTATTTAAATGGATTTGAAGCAAACAAAATGACACACAAAGGTTCCCCTCTATATTATCACTTTGCAAAGCAAGGCAGATCAAAAGTTGTCCGCTGCGTCCATCTGCTTTGTGCACAACGAGAAATGCTTGATCTAAGATGGCACTCAGCTTATGCAAATGGATTTTTTTCCCCAAACCTTACTACAGAATTTCATTATTAATAAAGACACCTAAACTAGAACTGGCAGGATTAAAAGGAGGGAAAAAATCCTGCAGAAATAGTGGAGATTGAGTTGAACATTTCCGTGAGCATTAACCGTATACATAAGAAATACAGGTATGTGTTTGTATGAAGGAAGAGTCAGCATTGCAACTCTCTAGAATCTCTGGGATTCATTTCTAGCCTTGCTATTCATCTCTCCATCTCCTTCATATATATCTTGCCCTTTGAAATTGATCTCTCTCCCCCCCCCCCCGCATGCATTCAACAAAAGTACCTACTTTTCTCTGGATACAGGGACACCATTCTGGGGTGGTCTAACCACCAATCTATATTTTAGACCACATGTGATTCTTGTTCAGGAAGATTTATTTCTCAGACCAGCTCACTGAGTTCTTCACACCAAGTGACTATTTTTATAAAGCAATTAAATGAGCCCTGTATAACTATTTGTGCCAAAATTGCAAATCCTTTCCCTTCAAAAATAAAGGATGTGGCTGTGGCTGTTTCACCTGTGTAGATGGCACTGCTAGAGTTAGTATGAGACGGAAAATGAAATCACAACAAATGCTCCTGGAATGCATTGCACTTTTTTGCCATTTCCCCCTAACACAGCCCAACAAGGCTGTTCTTTTTTTAAACCCTTGCTGTGGATCTCTCCAGCTTGCCAGAGTCTGTGCACACACCTGAAATCTCTTAATCTCATCCCCATCCTCTTGAAACGATACCCATTGGTGGATCATGTCCAAGGTTAGCAAACATGTTCCTCAAGCATTCTAATCCAGCCTCCTCTTAAAGTTAGGGTGGCCAGTTGTCCTGCTTTGCAGAGGACAATCTTCTATCTGAAGAGCTGCCAAAGGACAGATCTCTCTTCTACTGGCTCAAGTCTGGATTGTAAATAAATAACTTTGATGGGGAAAGGATGCTGCCCATCAACACTTCACTGCATTTGGACAGCAGACTAAGTGGACGCACAACTCACCTATTCTTGGTCTTCTCCAATATGATCCACAATCTTCTTCAATGTGGTGAGATATATTGCATTTCTGTTTATAGTGTATGTGCCTCTATACCAGGGGTCAGCAAACCTTTTCAGCAGGGGGCCGGTCCACTGTCCCTCAGACCTTGTGGGGGGCCAGACTATATTTTGAAGAAGAAGAAAAGAACGAATTCCTATGCCCCACAAATAACCCAGAGATGCATTTTAAATAAAAGCACACATTCTACTCATGTAAAAACACTCGATTCTTGGGCCGTCCACAGGCCGGATTTAGAAGGTGATTGGGCCAGATCCGGCCCCCGAGCCATAGTTTGCCTACCCATGCTCTATACAGTGGTACCTCTGGTTGCGAACGGGATCCTTTCTGGAGGCCCGTTCACAACATGAAAAGAACGCAACTCGAAGCAGTGCATCTGTGCATGTGCGGGTTGCAATTTGTCACTTCTGTGCATGCACGTGATGTAATTTTGAGCTTCTGCACATGTGCGAGCAGCGAAACCCGGAAGTACCCCTTTCTGGTACTTCCAGGTTGCCGCGGGACATAACCTGAAAGAATGTAACATGAAGCAGACATAACATGAGGTATGACTGTACACTTAATGAGCACCTTTTAATGCAAATATCTGTTTTGGTAATGTATTTCCTCCTTTTCCATGATGCACAAATGGCCACCCTATTTACTGGGCTGTCCTTTTGCCTTGTGAGGAATAGACCTGGAAGCAGGAACATCCACCATGCAGGGATGCTGGCACTTAGCTGGCTTCCTAGCATGTGTGTTGCTATGGATTGTGGGGAGGGAGAGGTGGTAGAGAGGACACTGTGGTGCAAGAGTTGTAGAGGGAGCATGAGATTGGATCTGTTGGTGTGTTCGCAATATGCCAACCACCCTGCCCCCCCTCCCTATAAGCCACAGCTATGCCCTTTCTGGGAGGCTAGGTGAGTGCTGCCACCCTACCCCACCGGATGCTCCTGCCTGAGAGAATGCAAACACTTTAAGGCTGCAACCCTGTGTGCAACTTCCTGGGAATAAGCCCTATTGAAAAAGCACTGATAGGATTGCCCTGGTGTAGCTTTCTTAAGAAAGTAGTCCTAGTTGTGTCATGTGACAAACAATTTAAATAAGGGAAAGTTGGCAAGTCGCTCCGTAAATTTTGTCAAGCAGCATACGACAAAAATAAACACACGAGAAAAACCCTCCTAATCTGATATCCTATAAATACCACAAAAGACTTGCAAAAAAACCAAAAACCCGTTTAACCATTCAGTCTGCATCAGAGCATTGCTGACTCCAAACAAAAGGATGCTTTTAAAAAATCTAAACTGTCCTTATAGACCTTACTTTAAAAATCTAGACACCATGTCACAGTCATGGTGAGATTTTGAAGTGAAGAAAAATGCTTGAATTCTCCACCATATACAAACCACGGAGTTGGAGCGTTCTCTGTTTAAAAACTAAACAAGCAAAGCAATTTAAAAATGAAAGAAATAAAAACCAGAATCTTGACAAATAAATAAAAGCAACTTAAATGAAAGCAAAACAAAAACAGCTGTGTGGATGTGCTTATATAAAGTTAAATATAAATAATAATACAGAAAATTAAAACAGAATAAAAACAGTGATGTTAATAGAGCTCTGTGAATACATGATTCACAGTAGCTCACTAAGGTAGACCTCTTCCCACCAGTTCCAATTCATGCCCTGAAGTTTCTGATAGACACTTCTGTCTGTGGTGTTTGATCTAGGATGGCTTATTCACTCATGAAAGTCACCACTTTGACCCTGGAGTCACCAAGTGATGAAAACACAGGTATGAAACACTCAAAACCAATATATGGAACCATTTATGGAAATGGAGGCACCCAAATCTTGGCCATGTTTTCATCTAACCAGCCTGAATTTCTGGCTTTTAGGGTAGGATTGCAATTAAAATTGAATTTGTCAACCTCTCCCCTTTAGCCTGAATTACAAATCCACTCCTGCCCTTCTCCCAAGAATTAGAATTAAAAGCTAACTAAACTGCTTTTTAAACACACTCACGCTGTTTTCGATAATCTGGTAGTTCAATGAGAAGACTCGATATTTCCAGTTAGCTAGCTAACTTGACGCTTGAATTTTCAAACTTTGGAGTTCCGGGCCTACTAAACTGCAGTGAGTGGCATACTTAATTGACTTTTAATATATTTACAGCTGTCAAAGCCTCTCTGATCCCCCTCCCCCACCCTTCATTTGACATTTGGACGGAAACCACCAAGAGAGCTTTCTTACTTCCAGAAATCCCAGCTGAAGAGAGGCAAAGCAGAGCCGCAAGAAGAACCTTCTGTCCATCCTCACATTTCCTTCCACTGTGTCCCTGTTCTGGAAGCCAAGGGGATCTTGGATCCAAAGCCTGTGCTGCTGTGGACAAGTTGGAAACAGAATGTTACATTCATTGGCCCAGCTCCATGGCAAACGAAGATGGATTCCGAATTTCTGACAAAAATGGAAGTGGCCAAAGTGAAAGTTGAATCATGAGGCGGAACACACAGTCTGCTCCTAAGCTTCAGCTTCATCGAGAAGGGCCAGTGATGCATTCAAGAGGTAAAGATGCAGCTCACACACACACACACCCTGTGGCATAAACACATTAGAAACAAGGGAGAGGCAACAGCACAGAAAGTTTATACTATTTATATCCATGTACTATCTGGGATGCTGGTGGCACTGTGGGCTAAACCACAGAGCGTAGGACTTGCTGATCAGAAGTTCGGCGGTTTGAATCCCCACGACGGGGTGAGCTCCCTTTGCTTGGTCCCTGCTCCTGCCCACCTAGCAGTTCAAAAGCACATCAAAGTGCAAGTAGATAAATAGGTACCGCTCCGGTGGGAAGGTAAACGGTGTTTCCGTGCGCTGCTCTGGTTCACCAGAAGCAGCTTAGTCATGCTGGCCACATGACCCGGAAGCTGTACGCTGGCTCCATCAGCCAATAAAGTGAGATGAGCACTGCAACCTCAGAGTCGGTCACGACTGGACCTAATGGTCAGGGGTCCCTTTACTATCTGGAAGCCTTGAAATCAGCGATGTAGAACTAGTGGTCCTCCAGATGTTCTTGGACCCCGGTTCCCATCAGCCCCAGCCAGCATAGCCAATGGCTAGGGATGATGTGAGTTAAGCAACATCAGGAGATGTGGGGTCCACACTGGAAGGTGATCCATGGGCTCCCCATCCCTGCGACGGAGCTATTTCCAATGCACTTGCCCAACAAACTATTTTGGAGGGTTGTTGCGAGCCTTCAGTGGATAAAGGGGTGTTTAGATTGGGCATGGCCAACTGGTAGACCCATGAGGCACATCTCTGACGCCCACAGTGTAAATCTAGGATGCAGGTTGAGACATCTTCTGTACTTGACTTGGTGGAGTACACTCCTTCTCATCAAATTAGCTCGAGTTGGCAAACATCCTTTGAATTTCTGTGGCCCAGTTTATGATGTCTTGTAAGTACTTCAAAAATGCACTGTGACTACATGATAGAAGACTCCAGCAAACCAATTCATATTCTCTGACGGGACTACCCAAAGCCAATCCTGCAGCTATTTAGAGAGGGGTTAACGCTATGGGGAATCACAGAAATCTGACTGTGTTGGTCTTGTGAAGCCTAGAATTTTGCACAACTAAAATCATCCACACTTTGGTCTGACACTTTCTTGACGTGTGTATACATCAAGATCTGGAATAACCCCTCGTTTCCATCTGACACATAGCACATCTG